TCCCCGTGTGTCTGAGCAGGTGCTCCCCGTGTGTCTGAGCAGGTGCTCCCCGTGTCTGAGCAGGTGCTCCCTGTGTCTGAGCAGGTGCTCCCCGTGTCTGAGCAGGTGCTCCCTGTGTCTGAGCAGGTGCTCCCCGTGTCTGAGCAGGTGCTCCCTGTGTCTGAGCAGGTGCTCCCCGTGTCTGAGCAGGTGCTCCCTGTGTCTGAGCAGGTGCTCCCCGTGTCTGAGCAGGTGCTCCCTGTGTCTGAGCAGGTGCTCCCCGTGTCTGAGCAGGTGCTCCCTGTGTCTGAGCAGGTGCTCCCCGTGTCTGAGCAGGTGCTCCCTGTGTCTGAGCAGGTGCTCCCCGTGTCTGAGCAGGTGCTCCCTGTGTCTGAGCAGGTGCTCCCCGTGTCTGAGCAGGTGCTCCCTGTGTCTGAGCAGGTGCTCCCCGTGTCTGAGCAGGTGCTCCCTGTGTCTGAGCAGGTGCTCCCCGTGTCTGAGCAGGTGCTCCCTGTGTCTGAGCAGGTGCTCCCCGTGTCTGAGCAGGTGCTCCCTGTGTCTGAGCAGGTGCTCCCCGTGTCTGAGCAGGTGCTCCCTGTGTCTGAGCAGGTGCTCCCCGTGTCTGAGCAGGTGCTCCCTGTGTCTGAGCAGGTGCTCCCCGTGTCTGAGCAGGTGCTCCCTGTGTCTGAGCAGGTGCTCCCCGTGTCTGAGCAGGTGCTCCCTGTGTCTGAGCAGGTGCTCCCCGTGTCTGAGCAGGTGCTCCCTGTGTCTGAGCAGGTGTTCCCCGTGTGTCTGAGCAGGTGCTCCCCGTGTCTGAGCAGGTGCTCCCTGTGTCTGAGCAGGTGTTCCCCGTGTGTCTGAGCAGGTGCTCCCCGTGTCTGAGCAGGTGCTCCCTGTGTCTGAGCAGGTGTTCCCCGTGTGTCTGAGCAGGTGCTCCCCGTGTCTGAGCAGGTGCTCCCTGTGTCTGAGCAGGTGTTCCCCGTGTGTCTGAGCAGGTGCTCCCCGTGTCTGAGCAGGTGCTCCCTGTGTCTGAGCAGGTGTTCCCCGTGTGTCTGAGCAGGTGCTCCCCGTGTCTGAGCAGGTGCTCCCTGTGTCTGAGCAGGTGTTCCCCGTGTGTCTGAGCAGGTGCTCCCCGTGTCTGAGCAGGTGCTCCCTGTGTCTGAGCAGGTGTTCCCCGTGTGTCTGAGCAGGTGCTCCCCGTGTCTGAGCAGTGTGTCTGTGTGTCTGAGCAGGTGTTCCCCGTGTGTCTGAGCAGGTGCTCCCTGTGTCTGAGCAGGTGTTCCCCGTGTAGGTGCTCCCCGTGTCTGAGCAGGTGTTCCCCGTGTGTCTGAGCAGGTGCTGCCTGTGTCTGAGCAGGTGCTCCCTGTGTGTCTGAGCAGGTGCTCCCTGTGTGTCTGAGCAGGTGCTGCCCATGTCTGAGCAGGTGCTCCCTGTGTGTCTGAGCAGGTGGTCACGTTGACCCTCTTCCCTCTGAGTGACCCCAGGCAGAGTCAGCGGGCGGACGGGTCCTCACTGACAGCGCAGAGGAGGCCGCTCTGAGCAGCCAGCCGGCCGGCTCCCTCGGGCTGCCGCCGTTTTGGGGCGGAGACTGGAAGGGGTGGCTCGGGGTGGGCGCCCTGATGCTCCATCCCTGACCCTCCTGGAGGGTCGCCTCCCTGGACCCGCCCGGACCTCCTCCTTCCTCATCCCTCCCCCCGGGAGCATTTCCTCATCCCGACCCCACAGCGACGCCCCTTCTCTGGGCTGGGGTTCTGGAATATTCCGGCTCGGGGCCTTGCACTGCTCTGTGCTTGTGCAGTGTGTTTCTGGCTGGGCCGTGGCTCCCCTCCCCCCTCCCGCCCAGCCCAGCTCGTCCCTCTGCACTCTGACCAGGCCCTCTCGGCCCCTCTGTCCACAGGGTCCCCCTGGGCGACCAGGTCTTCCGGGGGCCGACGGGCTGCCCGGCCCCCCTGGGACCATGCTCATGCTGCCCGTGAGTACCCCGACTTGTGGGGGGGCATGGTCGATGGGGAGGGGGCCCCGGGCTCTATTTCTGAGGGGGACAACCTCCTGGCCACAGACTCGCCCCAACCAGGGCGCACCGTGTCCTAGAGGCAGGCTCCTGGGGGGGGGTGCCTTTGCAGAGGAGTGGACCCCAGGGGTGCCCAGGGCTGCCCCCCCAGAGGGGGTGGAGTCAGGTCCCTGGAGGAAACCTGTGCCATCTGCCTGGGGGGGGGTGCCTTTGCAGAGGAGTGGACCCCAGGGGCGCCCAGGGCTGCCCCCCCAGAGGGGGTGGAGCCAGGTCCCTGGAGGAAACCTGTGCCATCTGCCTGTGTCAGACACCCCGTCACCACTTGGGCCCCGAGTGGGCGTGCTTGCCAGCGGGTCCCTCTGGGAGCTTGCCCTGCCCGTGACCTTGTGGGTGAAGGTCATGGGGCATCTCCTTCATGGGGAGCCCAGGCCTTGGGGAGAGTATGTGGTTGGTCGGGACGTCGGTCTTCTGACTGTCTGTCTGACTGTCTGTCTGTCTGATGCCGGGGCAGCTGGGCGCGGCTCAGTCCTCGCGAGGCCTCCCCGGTGCAGGCGTCTGCCTGGG